GTAGTTATAAGAGAGGTATTCAACGATTACAATCAAAACAAAAAAAAACAAACGAAACAAGACTGCCAAACGAAACAATCAAATCGCGATCATTACATGACGGATTATTATAAAAACACCTCAAATGTACTCAACACAAACGTAACGTACAAAAACTGAACCAAAAAAAAAAACACAATTTTTAACCAATTCACAAAACAAACTTCTCTCTTACAATAGAAATCAATCAACAACTGTATAGAGACTGGCCGCGAACACGATGTCCCTCTTGATCGCTGCTGAAATGTGTTCCATTTTCTCGTACAAAGCTGGATTTCCGATTAAACGCGCTGCATTCCGCACATCTTTGCACAGCTCGTCCAGTCTTTGAATACACCGAACTATCAGTCCTTCCTGTGCATCCGTCAATTTCATTATCTCAGAAAATGGCTGAAAATGAACAATCTCATCGCAATCGCACACATCACCATTTCCAAACTACTCAAATACACTATCATCATCATAACAATAACACTAAACAAATAATAACCAACAATCGCTCAACTAACCGTTGCATTTGCCCACTCATAAACGACATGCATCAAGGCAAAGCTCAACTCTTCTGAAGGATGTTCAGCGTTAAGGCCGCATTCACGCTGCACCAACGCTATTCGATCTGCCACTTGCATTACGTCGCTTTTCAACTGAAATTATTACAACAACTCAAATCATCATCAAATAACAATAATGTTAACAACAACGACCCTCTATTTTAATGACAATGACAGTGGTTGAAAATGAAAGTGAGGTCTAGCAAAACAATGAATTCAGTAACAATGATCAAAGTGACGTTGTTATGAAATTCATTTAAAATTCAGTGCCACTAAACAGCAATGGAACAAAAAAAGTCAAATAGAAACGAACGCAATACCATTTACTACAAGTGATACAATAGCAAGCAAAACACCTACCTGGTGGAGTGCTGCAGGTGCCCCGTTCGTAGGACTACCCTTCTGTGAGTCGTTATTTCTCTCCTTATNGCCACTTGCATTACGTCGCTTTTCAACTGAAATTATTATAATAACTCAAATCATCATCAAATAACA